GTGTGTGTGTGTGTGTGTGTGTGTTTGTGAGTGCGTGTTGGGAGAGCTACGAAGCGCCGCACAGGCCACAGACTGTGCTATCGACGGCGACAGGTAAAGGTCGTGGGAGTGGTGGTGGACGTGGTGGCGGTGGTGGAGAGTGCGTGATATGAAGTTGGAGCGAGAGTCGATGCACGAATGTCGGACAGCCGTCTGAGTTGCAAGGGCTTGTGCACCTGGCGTGAGGGATCTGCACGGCCGACGACAGCTGCTGGTTGAGCTCAAAAAGGTGAAACAGAGCAGCAGCCGACGTTCCAAGGGCGCGCCACCAACGCCCGGGGCGGAGCTTGAAAGCGCCGACTGAGGGATCGGGGGATCGGGCTGACCTCTATGCGATCTCGACCTCGCAGACAGAGGTGCATCGGATGCAAGCTAGACCGGCATTGAGCGTGTCGGCATGATCGACATGCAGCTGCAGCGTGGCCATGCTCTCTCTACGGTAGCAGGGCCAAGGCGGACTTTTGGTCGGGACTGCCAAGCATTCAGGGACAGGAGTACCGAAGCGGGCTCAAGGCCCTCTCTGTCGAAAAGCATGAACACATAGGCTCAGTCCGAGATTCTTCGGCGAAGCACAACTTGACTGGCCACACTCACACTCACACTCACACTCAGGGGCCACGCGCCGTGGCGCCAGCGAGAAGCGGATGTTGTTGGTCTTCCGACCTGCAGCTGTGGATTTTTTGGATTGTTTTTTTCTGGCGCCCGCTGAGTGCAAGCCGGGAGTGAGATTCCGTGGAGGAGAGGAGGCCGAAGCACAGCCAAGCGCATCATCCATTTTGAGCAGCAACTCGGACGCGCGCGCGGCCCAGCGCACAGCCAGCCAGCTGGATTTCCTGATTTTGAGAGCTGGATTTTCGAGGCCGAGCCGTGGGTGTGATGCACGTCTGCCGCCTGTCTCTCTCTGCTGCCACACCACTCTCAGGGTCGCCCTCGCATCCTTCGTTAGCACGCGCATCACAAGCTCGACCTCATCCTCGCTCGGCTCGATCCCGCTCCCACTTCACTTCCTCCACCCATCACGCGCTCTCACTCGCAGTTTGCAGCTGAGCTTTCGGCGCATCTCGGCCAAGTTACTGCGCTCCCCCTGCTCTGTCCTCGCTCATCACACCACAGACGTCACCGAAACCTCGCCGCCCCATCACGGATCGCTTCGACTGTTAAACACCAACCCCTTGGCAGCTCGGCACTCAGTGGACTGGCTCCACCCGAATCCTCGTCACCCATCCCACAGCCCCCCGCAGCCGGCTCAGCCTGCTTGAGTCGCCGCCGCCATGGCCATCTTCAAGAGGAATGCGCGCGCTACCGACGCCGGTGACGCCGTTCGCAACGGCTCCACCAACGATGCCGACAGCGACGCATCGTCCGCAAAGGGTCTGCGCAAGTTCGCTCAGCGCAAACCCGCCAACACCGCCTTCAAGCAGCAGCGCTTGAAAGCATGGCAGCCCATCCTCACGCCGCGCACCGTCCTCCCCACCTTCTTCCTCGTGGCGCTCATCTTTGCGCCCATCGGCGCCGTGCTCTACTACTTTGCAGAGCAGGTCAACGAGTTCACCCTCGACTACACACAGTGCTCCACCGCGCCCGCAACCCCGACCCAGGCGCAGATCCCTTCGAGCAAGTACGACTACCAGCTGCACGACAAGAACACGAGCAACTTCCAGCCACCCACCTGGTCCTGGGACGCCGGCTCCAAGACGTGCAACCTCTACTTTAGCGTGCCCAGCCGTCTCGACTCGAGCGTCTTCCTCTACTACAAGCTCACCAACTACTACCAGAACCACCGTCGCTACGTCAAGTCCATCGACTCGAACCAGCTCAAGGGCGACGCGGTCGCCTACGGCACCATCAAGGGCGGCACCTGCAAGCCCGTCGACATCGACCCCGCCACCAACAAGATCTACTACCCGTGCGGCCTCATCGCCAACTCGGTCTTCAACGACACCTTCAGCGACCCCGTGCTGCTCAACGTCGCCGGCTCCGACTCGGCCAACCAGACGTACGTCATGAGCGAAAAGAACATCGTCTGGCCCGGAGAGAAGGACAAGTACAAAAAGACAAAGTACGCCGCCGACCAGATCGTCCCGCCGCCCTTCTGGCAGGGCGCCACGGGCGAGTTTGGCTTCCCCAACGGCTACTCGGACGGCCAGATCTTTGACCCGAGCGAGAACGAGCATTTCATGGTGTGGATGCGCGTCGCCGGTCTGCCCACCTTCCGCAAGCTGTACAAGCGCAACGACACGGCCGCCATGGAGCCCGGCAGGTATCTGCTGCAGGTCGTCGACAACTACCCCGTCAGCATGTTTGACGGCACCAAGAGCGTTGTCTTTAGCACCTCGTCCTGGGTCGGCGGGCGCAATCCGTTCCTCGGGCTCTCGTTCATCGCCGTCGCTGCGCTCTCGGTGCTGCTCGGACTCATCTTTACCGCGCGCCATCTGATCAAGCCCAGGAAGCTCGGCGACATGAGCTACCTCTCCTGGAACCAGCCCGACTCCAAGTGAGCGCGCCGCAACTGCCTCCGTCCGCTTTTGCCTAAGCGCCATTGTTTTCAGACGTGTATGTGATGAACAAGATGCTATTTTTTTGCAGTGGACACTGTGCAAGCCTTGTGGAAAAGCTAGGGATCAGCGGGGACGGGTTTGTTTTCGCTCTCGGGCCAGTTGGGCATGAGCTCGTTGGAGGGCGTGCCGTAGGGATGCAGAATTTTCTGGGCGACTTGATCTCCTGCAATGGGCAGGGTGACGGTGGGGTCGAGCGAGCTCTTTGTGGGGTGGAGTAGGCCGAGTTGGGTGAGGGTATTAGCCTGGTCCCAATACAGGCTTTCGTAGGCGAGCTTATCGCCTCGCATGTTGACGATTCCGACCATTGGAATGCGGAGCTTCTTGCCGGTGGGGGGAACGCCGGGGAGGAAGTAGTCGATGACGGTGGTGTGGGTGCAGCTGAAGACCATCTCGTCGATAATCCTATCTGCCCCAATCGTCCTCGAAATCGGCACGAGCGTTGTATCGGGAGGCGAGACGTTGGTAAAGTGGTGTTGGTAGAATCGAGCCAACTGAGTGTAACCTGCTCCGCCGGTGAGGCAGGCAATGTGGTTGACGTAGGGTTGGGCGACCATGGTGCGCATGGTGCGTGCAGCGGACCGCGTGGCGAATTCAAAGTACGTGTGTTGATCCCAAAGCTGCTCGAGGGGAAAGCGCGGTCCCATGGCAGCCTTGAGCGTCGCCACGGTGCGCGAGTAGCTCATGGCCGCTGCACTTCGATGCGAGTCTTCCATGCCGGTGCTGAAGGCATAGTCCTTGGTGTGGTGCGAAAAGGGGAATGCACACGCCCATACCGACGCCTCGTTCGGCACTGCATACGTGAAAACCGCCAGTGTCGTGGGTCGTACCGGTCCCAATTCGGCAGCAAAGCCATCCAGCTCGGGATGAAAGGGTAGAGCCGATTGTGGGATCTCGCCCGACTTGGCTGCTTGTACAAGCGCATCCACTAGCTGCGCATCTTCGGCCACATGCGCCGTGAATGGTAGCCCGGCATCCATGGTTCGCTTGGCCGCCTCTACTGCCTGACCTGGCTGCAGCTGCGATCCATACGCCACGTACGCTGACAACCCACCCTTGCCCGACGTCTCGACCTGTAGAGCCGCAACCACATCTGCATCCTCTTGCTCCAATCCCAACGTCAGCAGTGCCGTATACCTGTTCCACCCACCTGCGTTGTCGATGAGCGAAAGCACATTGGTTGCCATTGCCCAGCCGTGTGTCTCGCGCAGATTCGCGTCGGATACCCACTCACCGCGGGTGGGCGGTTTGCGCAGTGCCGAGAGCGACGCAGATCCAGAAGTGGTATCCACCAACACCACCTCGTACCCCTCTTCAGCCAGGTTGGTTGCCAACCCCCGCGACCCAGCATGCATGCTGCCCAGCATCACCACGCTAGGCGCCCGTCCCGGGATACGTGCCGCGTCCACCCCGCATGGAAAGTGCTCAAACTTGATTCCTCCTGCCATCGTGCATGCTGACACGGAAGAGGTTGGTGGTTGGTGGGGAGTGAGTGCCGAGTCCAGGCCGGCGACTTTTTGTACGGGAGTTGGAATAATGCCCGTGCGCAGCCGCGGAGATTTCGCCGGCACAGGTGCGTGGTGCATCGCCGCGGTCACTTCCTTCCGCCCAGCTACGCTGACATGAGATGCCGCCGAGCCTCGGCTTGCCATCCCGAATCCAGCACAAAGCAGAGCCCATCCTCGCATCTCTCTTCGCTCCACATGCTCAGCTCATGCCCCGGGCGCGGTGCGCAATGGCTGCTCAGCATCGGACGAGTTTGATGTGTACCTAGATCATATTTTTGAGTGTTCTATACGGATGTCCTAGATGCAGCAACCCGGCTCGCCTGGATGGACGACTAGTTGCCCTCCTTGGCCGCCTCGTCACGCAGCAAGCGACGCAGGATCTTGCCCGACGGGCTCTTGGGAATCACCTCCATGATCCTCACGCCGCCGCGCAGCTTCTTGTGGTTGGCGACCTTGGATGCGGTCCACTCGATGATCTCCTTTGCCACCTGCTCCGGGTTCTCCTTCTGCGCCACCTCGTCCTTGAGCACGACGTACGCGCGCGGCAGCTCGGTCGCCTGCGCCTTGTCGTGCACGCCGATCACGGCGACGTCGGCGATCTTGGGATGCGAGAGCAGCGTGGCCTCGAGCTCGGCGGGCGGCACCTGGAAGCCCTTGTACTTGATGAGCTCCTTCTTGCGGTCAACGATCCAGAAGAAGCCGTCCTTCATGATAGCCACGTCGCCCGTCTTGAACCAGCCGTCCTGGGTGATGCAGTCGTCCGTCGCCGCCTTGTTGTTCAGGTAGCCCTTCATGATGGTCGGCCCCCGCACCCAGAACTCGCCCGGCTTGCCGTTCTCGCCCTGCTCGAAGCCGACGTCGTTGCCGTCATCGTCGACCAGACGCCCCTCGACGCCCGCGAGCAGACGGCCGCAGCTGCCCATGTGGTCGTGGTATTCGTCTGGCCGGGCGAAAGTGGCGGTGGGCGAGGTCTCGCTGAGGCCCCAGCCCTGCGTGACGCGCAGACCGGGATGGGCGGCCTCGACCTCGAGGCTGAGCTCGGTGCCGAGCGGCGCGGCGCCGGACATGACCCACTTGAGGCTCTTGAGGTTGTACTTCTTCGCGCGCGGGTCCTTGGCGAGCAGCACGAGGATGGGCGGCACGACGTAGCTGATGTTGCACTGGAACTTTTCCACCGCAGAGCAGAAGACGTCGAGGTCGAAGCGCGGCACGACGATGCACTCGGCGCCAATGTAGATGCTCTTGAACATGTGCTTGGCGAGGCCAAAGATGTGGAACGACGGCAGCACGCCCACGTAGCGGTCGTTGGGCCCGATGGCGTCGCCAAACGTCGAGACGATGGCGGTAGTGACGGCGGTGAGGTTGCCGTGCACGAGCTGGACGCCCTTGGGCTTGCCGCTGGTGCCGCTCGAGTAGACAACAAAGGCATCCTCGGTGCGGTCGTCGACCACCTTGTGCGTGTCGAGCCTGCCATCGCCGAGGAGCGTGCGTGCGTCGACCTCGCCCTTGTCGCCCTTCTTGAGGCTGTCGCCGTCGTCGAGGATCCACAGGCGGTTCTGGCCGTTTTTTGACTTGGGGCCGAGCTTGGCGAGTTCGAGACCTTCGCGCGCGGTGCTGAGCACGCTCTGGTGGCAGAAGATGTACTCGATCTCGGCGTCATGGACGGGATGCACGAGCTCCTCGGCGCCGTACGCGGCGTTCATGGGCACGAGCACCACGCCTGCGCAGAGACCGGCGTGGACGATCCACGGATATGCGGTGCTGTTGGGCGAGAAGATGCCCACCCTCGAGCCGGGCTGGAGGCCGAGCGTGTGTCGGAGCGCATAGGCGAGTCGACGCGAGTCGTCGTGCAGCTGCTTGCGCGTGGTCTTCTTGCCGTCGAGTCGGATGTATGCCGCCTTGTTCTCGTCGACCTTGTTGGGGTTGCTGTAGAGGAAGTCGAAGAGGTTGCCGCGCTGGACACGCGGCGGATCGGCCTCGCGCGCCTTGATGATTTGAGGGGCCATGATGGAATCTACGAAAAGGGGAGGCGGTACCGTTGGGTGCCAGAGGGAACGGATGGATGGGGGAGAGGGAGAAAGGATCGCTATCAACCGCCGGGGGCGTGGAGTATTTGAAGCAGGCTGGGGTGTTGCGGGGAAAGTGAATCACGAGCTTTTCATTGGGCCAAGACGGCGGCACTATGTGTCACGGCCCCCACGGCCCCTTTGGCAGAGACAGCAGGGTCGGCTCGGCGCGAGGCTGTCACGAGCGATCCGCCCTATGGTTGCCGCCTGCCCATTCAGAATTCCGTCGTTTCGAGTGCGGAGAATACAGTATGGCAATGCAGCTCGCCGAGAATAGGCCTTCTTGCGAGTGACGGTGTGGGGACGGTCGGTCGGCACTGCGGATTTGCCGTGGATTTTTCGACGAGCAGCGGCTGCGTTGTTGCGCAGTTGCGCTGCAGTGCGCTGTGCTGCGCGCGATGCTGCAGCACTCCGGCAACCGGTTGCGAGGCTAGCCCGGCCATCCGATTTTACCGGCACTCCGACTCGCTGTTCGTCACAAGCTGGCTCAGAGCCATAATTCCGCCACCTCCTTCCCAGCACCGCCGCGCCAGCTTTCTGGAAGCCCGGAGAGGCTGTCCCTCTTGTGTCTCGGACTCGGACCAAGGTAGCTGCCGACTGCAAACAAATCGCAGTCTCGGTCGTCACCGTTCTACGGAAAGCGCGCGCTGTCATCGGCAGATCTTTGCTGATCTTGGTCTGATTACCCGGTGCCGTTTACAGTGCCCGCCCCGATGGTGGCGTGGATGTCCTGCTTGGCCGACCATCCTCGAGAGCCGGAAGTTGTTCCGACGCATGGGCCTCGGTAGGATCGGGTCGGGAGCCGTCACTCTCTCACCAGCTGCGTGTCTCGTGCGCTTTGCAAGAAGAAGGAAGGCACACCGCTTCATTTCTGTGCCAAATTTCTCGGTCACATTTTCCCTCTCGACCCTTTCTGTTCTTGCCAACTTTGGCAAGATAGGTCCAGTGTTAATTCGACAGATAGCGGGCCGCTTCATGATCGGATGAGCCGTGGTGTGAGCCGTCGTCGTTGATCTCGGAGCGCCTCCTCCTGTTACGTTCGGAATGACCCGAGTGGCCGGTGCTGCGCCGATCGTTGACATGCAAGGGGAGTAAACAAAGGAGGTTCGCGCGAGTCCGTGGAGATACGCTCGGCCATGCCACCGCCAGCGGTCGTCGGTAGCGAGCGTGCCAAGCTGCACGAGCGGGTCCCAGTGCCAGCACACCGCAGTCTCGCCGGAAGGCATTGTGGACCATCATCTACAGTAGCTTGGCCGCTGGCTGGCGGAGCGTGTCGAGCCTCGCCTCGACTCGCCTTGCAGCGGCATGCGTGTCTTGTATTTATCCGCCAAGTCAACCCAGACCTCGCTTTGGAGTGGGCCGAGCGCGTCGGAAGCCAGCTGCAGACATGGCCGCATGGGATTGGCTCGCCTACGCCGCCCATCTCGCACACCCGCACGCCCACCATGCGCAGCGCGCCGATCATCTCATCTGAGCGCAGCCTGTTGCATGCATTGCGATGCATCCGTAGCAACCTAAAGCAACAAGCAGCCTATGAATCGTCGCGGCAAGACGGGGCCGGAGAAGCCTGCCCAAAAGATTCACACGCCGACCGGGAAGCTGCGAGTGAGACTCGGCGGTCAGGGATGAGACCGAGAGTGGGAAGAAGCTGGACCCGATGCCAGCCAGCCACGGCATGGCGCTGGCAGAAGTCCAACACCGAGCGTGGCGTGCCGAACCGCCTTGCTGAGAAGCGTTGGGTCGGTCAGGGATCAGTGGAAAATGGGAAAAAAGGTCATTTTTGGGAAGTCAAGGTCGCCTGCCTGGCTCGAGTGGGCTCGCCTCGTTGGCGAGGCGGATTGGAGCGCCGCCCTCGCGTCTTTTGGGCGCGCCGTCGCGCTGTCGAGCTGCAGGCAAGCAGCAGCGCGAGACCAACAGAGCAAAAAGACAAGCCCAAGCCGAGGCGCGAGGCGAGCGCAAGAAAATATGCATGCATGCAGCTCGCTCCTTGTCGCTCTCCCCGCCCGCGTCGGCTCGCCTCTCTGAGCTGGCACACACACGAGCGCGCCGCGCGGGGACGTCAAAAGGCTCCGTGCACGCACTTTCGGCACCCTTCTGCACCCTTTCCGCACCAGCCGGAGCCAGAGCGTGACCGAAGGAGAGCGTGTCTCTTTTGGCGTGGAAGCGCGGCGCGCAGAGAGCTTCGTGCGCCTCGCCTAACCAACTGAGCTGAAGAACAGAAGCGCAGCGCAGCGCAGCAAGCTTGCCCTTTCTCGTCGTCGTGAGATCTCGCCGAAGCTTCCGTGCCACCTTCTCTCTTTGCGATCTCGACACGTTCCATTCGACCTTCCCTCATCCTCCCAACACCTCACCTGCTCGCAGGCTCATCGTCGCTGAGGCGAACACCGACGCACCGCACCCCAGCATCGATCGCCTCTTCTAAGCGGCTGCACAACGCCATCTACCACCATCGCAAAGGCGCCAACCACCGGCTCTGCTCGTCTTCGCATGCCTCTCGCGCTCCCATAGACGCATCCTTCCACCTCCCCACACACCGAGCTGCAAAGCCGCGCTGCCACCATGCCGACTCCTTCGTCCCAGTCGGGTCCGCACCCCGGCTCCGCACGCGCACAGAACCAGCATGCACAGCATGCACAGCATGCACAGCAGCCATACTACCCACAAGCACAGCCTCTTCATCACCAGCATCAGCATCTCCAACGATACCAGCAGCATCAACAGCAGCCTTCGCCCCCGGCGTCTTCCTCCTCTCAACAGAGTCAAGCGCACCACGACAGAGCTCCACCATCCCAGCCCATCGGTCGCAGCCAGTCCGCCTTCAACTTCCTCCTCAACAAGGCAAAGGCTCCCTTCTCCTCCTCCTCCAGCTCTTCCACACTCAACGCCTCCACCTCCCTCTCCTCCCTCTCCGTGCATCAGGAGGATCCCTTTGACGACACCACAAATCACATCCAGTACCATCGCCAGCTCCAGAACGACCACGCCTTTCCTCAGGCGCCTCCTTCCGCGCCACCAGCTCGCAGGACCGCTAGCGGCGGCATCGAAAAGACCGCTCGCTCCCATCCATTTGCACACGACGCCTCTCAGCCCTCAAAATCCACAGGCGCCCCCTTTTCCCGTCCCAGCTACTCCTCGGAAGAGCCACAGAATGCCGTCGCCAGCCCCACAAAGCGCGGCTTCTTCGGCGGCATCGGTCGCGATCGCAAGGCGTCCACAGCCTCCATCAACAAGCCCGCTCCCCACAAACCCAACTTCTCCCACAGCCCGCTCTCCAAACCTCAGCGCACCGACCCCACCATGGCTGCCAACTACGCGCACTTCAGCAAGAGCCAGTCCGACCTCCACTCCCGCGCCGACTATCCCTCGCCCACCAACATGACCGTCGAGCTTCCTCGCCTCCCCGCCGTCTATCACAACAGCAACACCGCGCAGCCTCCCATCGATCGCAACAGATACCTCCGCTCCCCCAGCCCCGCCATGAACTTTTCTCGCAGCGTCGACGACCTCAGCATCGCAGAGCAGCAGCCCGCGTCACCCTACCCAATCTCTCCCGCACACGGCCAGTCCTCCTCCTCCCTCGCCACCGCCGCCACGTCCACCTCGCCTGGCACCTGGGGCGAGCACGGCATCCCCGTTCCTCAACCAGACTGGCGTCCAAGCGACATGGGCACCCTCGCCTCCCCCACCCACCAGAGCGCCGCCTCCTTCCAACGCTTCAAGCCCGGTCACAACAAGCTCGACTCGGTCGCATCGCAGCTCCAGCCTTCCTCCGGTTCCGTGCACTCGCCGCCGCACAACTGGTCCGGAATGTCCCCGCCCCAGTACAGCTACATGCAGTCCTCGGCAGCTCCATCCAGCGCACGTGCAGATGCAAAGCACGCCCGCAAAGCCTCCAAACTCATGGGCAAGGACTCTTCGGCGCGCGGCGCTGTAGCCACCTCTCTCGCCGCCTCGCTCGGCCTCACTCACCTCGGCGCAGCCTCTGCAGCTGCCGTCCCGCCTCTGTCCATCCTCACCACAGCAGAGCCAGTGCCGCTGCCACCGGGCGCTTCCTTCCAAGGCTTCCTGGCTCGAAACGCCAACATCAGCCTCACCCTCGCCCAGCTCAGCGGTCATGATCATGGCAAGGGCAAGGACAAGGAGAAGGACGTCACAAAGGGCTGGAAGCCCTACCGCGTCGTGCTCCAGGACGGCCGTCTGTGCTTCTACAAGCCGCCCAGCAACATCTCGGACGACGTCAAGGCGCTCTTCCCCACAGGCATCGTACGTGGCGTTCCCGACACCCCCGCCTCTTCTGCCTCCATCTCGAGCCTCACCGCCGATCAGCTCGTGAGGAGCGGCCTCAGCAAGCAGGACCTGCTCAGCGCAACATCGAGTACGGCCGAGATGACCTCGCCCCTCGCATCTCCCAGTTTGAGACCACGTCTTCCCTCTGCGCGCCCCAACAAGTCCGCCACCACTCCTTCCGAGGTACCGACGACACCCGTCGCAGCGCCCCCACCTGCCGAAGCCGACGCACCGCGTCATCAGTCCTGGCTCAAGCCCGGAAAACATCCGAATCTTTTGCTCGTCGACACTGTCGATGCCCCGCCTGCATGGTCGGACCGCATCCAGGCCGGCACCTCGGAAGCACTTGCGCACGAGTTTGTTCACGCGACGCAATTCCCGACAGAGCAAGCTGAAGCACAAGCCTCACGGCGTTCCATCCTCCCATCGCCACTGGCTTCCGGTTCGCGTGCAGCACCCAGCTCTGCAGAGTCCGCCGTCGAGTCCTTCGTGGTGGCCGTGCTGGCCAACGCTTCTTCTTCCGCAAAAGATGCGCCGCAGGACGCGAACAAGCAGATCAGCACATTCTTCCTCGACGTCGTCAAGCAGGCAGAAGAACTGACCTCAGCCGGCACGGATATCTCGCAGTCCATCTCTGCTTCCCTCCCGTCCCTTGCCTCACGATTGCGCACGCTGCTCGATGTCGCCACTCGGGCCGGCCTCTTTGGAATCCTCACAGGCGAGACGCTGCAGAAGCTGGCAGTACTGGTATCGATGGACATAGACGAACTCGACGACAAGATGCAAGCCTATGCCAGCCCCATCCTGTCTCTTTCTGACGCCCAATCGCCCGAGCAGCCTAGAGATTGGATAGCAAGGCTAGCAGAGAAAGAGGCCGCTAGTGCACGCGAGGATCTGCGCAAGCTTCGCAGCTCTCTTGAGCTGTCGGACGACCTGCTGCTCCAGCTCGAGCCGCTCGAGATCGCCCAGCAGATCCAGGCCTTCCACGTCGACGCTCTGCGACGTCTTGTCATCAGCGGAACTTCCTTCCTCGATCTCCTCCACCCAATAACGACGGACGCCGATAGCATCGCCGCTCTCAGCTTCGACTCGTTGTCGCCGCATCCGCTCACCACGCTCGCTCTCAGCCACCTGCTCAAGTCCAGTTCCTCCGCCCAAGACGCGCCCAACGCCGCACAGAACGGCGCCCGACACCGCGCCTCGGTCCTGCGCCACTGGATCGCCATCGCCTCCTACCTGCTCTCTCTGGGCGATGTGGCGGGTTGGATGGCCGTTTGCGCGGCTCTCTGCTCTCGCGCAGTCACTCGACTCGAACAGACCTGGCGTTATCTTGCCGAGGGCGACCGGGTTCTAGTGGCAGAGGAATGGGCTCCCATCCTGTCCAGCCTTTCCTGGACCGAGGGTCTGGCTGTCCACGTGCGTCCTCGCTTCGTCGGCGATGGCACGCAGTCCTTCACCACCTCGCCCGACGGCACGAAGCTCGCAGTCGTCCCCTACCTGGGCAGCGCCTTCTACCGCACCTTGCGCCAGCCGAACAACCCCTCGACATCTCCCTCTGGCATGCTCTCCATGTCCAACTCGAGCAGCGCAGAAGACGCCGCTCACCTTTGGGTTTCGGTCAACGAATGGCGTTCGGCGTGGCAGGGAGAGCCAAGTCTCACCCTTGCTGCTCATTCCGAGCCAGTGGAGGAGTACCAAGCAGCGTTGCAGCTGCTCTTCCAGAATTCGAACACGCCGGTGTCTACAATGGAGTCCAACATGGAGCGCTCCTTCCAGCTCGAGCCGAAAGCGCTCGGCAACGTCGACGCTGGCAGCCTCGACGCCCGCGAGAGACTCTCTCTCCCCTCCAGCGCCGACGCCGACCTGCCACTGGCGCCGCTTCTCTTCCCGCAGCCGCTTCCGCTGCTATCCTTGCTAAACATGTCTCAGATCAAGGCGTCACTTGGCCGTCGAAATGACCCACGCGCGAACCAGATCCACGATCCCCAAGCCACCATCACATCACGCTCAATCACACGTCCGTCGCTGGCAGGCTCGCCTCTGGCTCGTGCCTCGGCATTCTCGCCACCCTTGGGCCGATCGAGTCGCAACGCTGCATTCAGCGGCGTCGAGTGGTCTACGATCTCAGCGCCCACGAAGTGGGACGACGCCAGCAACGGGGCTGTCAAGATTGGCAACGAGCTTGTACTGCGGTTGATTCAGGAGGCCAACCTGTCCTTGCCCGGTTCCCCGATGACCAGCAAGCGCTTCTCGCAGGACTTTGGCCGCGCTTCCAGGCCACTCTCCCAGGTCTCGAAGCGTTCCAGCTTGCCCGCATCGAATCGAAGCTCGGTGATCGACATTGTGGTGCCGGTCCAGGTGGTCGTCAAGGCAGCCACGCTTGATCGCATGATCGACCTTCTCGTTATGGGCGTGCAGCATATCAATGTCCCTCCCATCTCTTCTCCGATGGATGGCCCAGAGCAACAGAGCGCACCTCAGCGCAAGACTCGACTGGTCATGGACATGGAGTCGTACCGCACCACGTTCCTGGCCACCTTCCGCAGCCTCTGCTCTGCACCCGAGTTGTTCGAGCAGCTGCAAAAGCGCTTCTCTACCGCGATCATGGCGAGCAAGGAGCTGGCAGGCGCAGACGAGTTCCGTAGCTCGAGTCAGTTCCCGTCGTGGATCGGCGTCATTCCGGCTGGCAGCCAGGCAGAGCCGACCGATTGGGAGATGGTCTACCGTATCCGCATGGGCGTGGTGCTGACGCTGCGACTCTGGATCGACCGCTTCCCTCAGGACTTTGTGGACGTCGACGACCTATACCACCTCGCGCTCAACTTCCTGCGACATCCCGGCATGGAAGTCACAACCGAGGACCCCGATCAGCAAAAGGTCGTGCATGCCCTTGCTCAGCTTCGGAGCATGTTTGGCTCGAGGATCATGGGCGCAAACGCCAGGCAGGAGGAGCGAAGCTACGCTACCAACATGGCAGTGCAGATCTCCGACAGTCGTCAGCAAGCCGACTTCGACTTTGACCGCGCATCGGCAGCTGAGCTGATCGAATACCTCGAGTCGATCGCGACGGTCTTCTTCGACAAAATCGTTGATCGCGACCTTCTCGTCGTCAGCGAGATCTTTGAGAAGTTTGCGATCCAACCGACTGCGTGGTACACGGTCAAGTCGGCCGGAACGGCGTCGGGTGAGGAGGACAAGCCCATCACCAACATGTACACCCTCCTTGACGTGTTGCGTGCGCCGGGCGGCACCAATGCAGACGCCTCCAAGGACTCCACGGCTAGCCTCCGGCTTCGGATGCCCTCGGCGATCCACGACGCATTGGCAGCTCAAAGCCTCTTCCGCGGCTGGATCGCCATTCATATCGTCGAGTCGGGCATCGGCCTCGAGCGTCGTCAGGAGAGGCTATCCAAGCTTCTCGATGCCCTTTGGCTCTGCAGGGCTCGCATGCTCAAGCTTCGGAATGACGAGATGACAGCCTCTGCGAATGCTCAAGCTGGCAATGTAGGTCCCATTGCGGATACCTCGCTGCCGTTCCGCGAGCCTACGATTGGATCGTTCGTCGAGTCGGCGATCGTCAACACGCTCGGATCTTCCGAGTCGCGCATTTTCCTGCGTGCGTGGCAAGGTGTCGCCGCCGCACGCGGTGGCCGAGGCGACGGCATTGATGACCTGATGCCAAAGCAGGTAGACGCCGATCTGCGTTCGGCTGTCGACATGGCCGGTACACCAGACATTGGCTGGATCCTTGCTTGCCTCGCCGAGGCAGCCACCCGAGCACCGAGTGTGCCAACGTCAACAAGCGACGTCGAGCTGATCGACTTTGAAAAACGACGTACCATGTGGGCGTTGATCGATGGTGCCGTGCGAGTGCGACCTGCATGCAGTCTCCCTGACCTGGTCGACGTTGCTGGCGCCCGACTCCGGCTCATGCAGAGTGCTCTGAATCGCGTCATCTGGGATCGTCGTGCCTTCCGCGAGGAAGCAGCAAAGGAGATGCGCAATGCGCCTCCCGTTCGCAGCGATGCCAAGCTTCGCCCTACCACCTCGAGCAAGGCGCTCTCGGGCCTGTCGAAGCAGCAACAAGAGAAGCTGCGTCGTGACCGAGCGGCACTGGAGATGCTCAAGTCTCTTCCCTCGGCTCCTCCGATCTCATCGCGCGTTTCGAGCATGCCGTCTAGTCGTGCACGCGCCTCAAATGTATCGTCGACTGCATTCCCCTCGATGCCGCAGTCGTCGGACAAAGCCACCATGGTTCAAGCGCCGCCTCCCGACAAGGCGACGATCCGAGCACGCCGCATGACAGCGCTCTTCAAGGGTGCCGTGCGTCCGCTGATCTCGTTGGACAAGCCCAACGAGCCCAGCAAGCCAACTGCAGAGCTGATGCGTCTGACGCCCCTGCAGAAGCCTTCGCTCGTCGCCGGATTGGGTGGCGCCCGTGTTTCGGTTTGGAACAACGCGCAACGCTCGTTCGTCTTCCACCTCACTTCGCAGGAGGGAGCCAAGTACCTTCTGCAGACCACCAATGCTGCGGACCTAGCAGAATGGATCAGCCAGATCGAACGCGCGTCCAAGGAATACGCCGGGCCTCAGCTTCTCGATGCGCGCAAAGGAGGCGTCCCGTCCAAGACAAGGGCGGGGCCTGCGCCCCTCTATGCACGACCTTTGGCCGAGCTGGCAGAACGTGAGGGACACTCTGTCCCCACGGCCGTCGAGCGCATGTTTGCCGAGGTCGAGGCACGAGGGCTGCGCGAGCAGGGCATCTATCGAATCTCGGGCTCCAAGAGCGCCGTTGAAAATTTGCGAACAGCGTGGGACCAGCAGCCTGCCGAGTCGATCGATCTCTCGACGGGCGAGTTCAGCGACGTGCACACCATTGCAGGCGCTATCAAGGCGTGGCTCCGTGAGCTGCCGGAGCCGCTCATCACGTTTGACTCGTACGACGCGCTCATCGCGACCAATGCGATGGAGAACGACGACCGCCTCTACGCCATGCGCGACATCATCTGGAAGATGCCCAAGTGCCACTTTGATGTGCTCCGCCGCACCGCCGAACATCTCGCTCGTGTGGTGGAAGAGGGCGAGATCAACAAGATGCTCGCGCACAATGTGGCGCTCGTCTTTGGCACGTCGCTTCTGAACCCGCCCCCGGGCCCATCGAGCGTTGCGATCGGCTTTGGCAACCTTGGCAAAGCGGCCAATGTCGTCAAGACGATCGTCACCATGCACGAGTGGCTCTTTGAGCCGGAGCCGGAGCCGGAGCTGGAGCCGGAGCCGGAGCCGGAACCAGAGCCAGAGGCTGGGCCGGAAGAGGAGGCCGAGGCTGAAGAGGGACAACGGCTCGGTGCCCAGCAGAATGCCGATATCGAACAAGCCGACCCTGGGAGCGCATCTGCGACCGAAGCTGGTGTCGAAGAGGCTTCATCTCCCGTCGAGTCGATCAATGCGACGCGTCTACGTGGAGCTTCGATTTCTTCCTCCCAGGACTCTCAGCCGGGCCTGAGCAAAGACGTCCCGGTGCTGGCCACCCGGCAGGACGAGGAACAGGCGCAGTCCGACGAGGAGGAAGCTTCCACACTCACTGAGCTTGCACCGCGGCCGCGCCGAGGTGGCCGAGCGCGACCGCTGACCATTGTCGGGCTGGACGGGTTGGCCGCGCTTGGAGCAAACGAGGACATCGCCAAGGTGCTCGAGAGCGGCACGACCCCAAATGCCGAGGCATCTGTGGGCGAGGATGGCACGAGCGAGTCACAGCCATCACAGGCTGCTCCACGCATCGTTCTCTCCGGTGCCGGCGACGAGAGCGATCGAGAAGCCGATGGCGACGAGGGATCGGACAGCGGGGATGACGATGACGATTCGCGCGAGCAAGATGCCGTCGCTGATGCGACCGAGGTGGACTCTGAGGCCGCGCGAGTTCAAGAGAAGGAGGGGAATGCGGACGAGGCTTCGGGCGCTGCAGCAAGCGCGCGACCCAGGAAGACGCGCAGCACGTACCGCGACAGCGTATTCACGTCGTACTCGATCTATGCCGACTGCTTCGACAACATGAGGCTCGAGAGTCAGTCGTCGGCGGCAAGCATGGTCAAGCGCCAGTCGATGCACCTCTTGAACTCGCCTCCTGTGGCGCAGGAGGCAGTCACGGGCGACGCGGCCGTGACCAGGTAGATGATCCTCACAGAAGACCCTAGATTGTAAGCATGTACACGCTCACAGAGCGCGGTAATGATACCCAGGCCACTTGCAGAATGCGTTGCGTGAGAAATGTGTGCGGTACTGAGCTGTTGCAGGAGGACTGACCGAGCGGAAACAATGTGCCGTTCGTCTAATCAGCGAGGAGGCTGGGCATTCGGCGACGTCCGTCAACTCGCGGCGCAGCTAGTGTGGATTCGTTTGAGCTCCCACTGCATGCGAGCGCTAACCTTCGCCTCGTCACAGCAATCCCGCACCCACTCCCAGCTTGGACTCTTGACTCCGTGCATCGATCCGCGCCCTAGTCACATGTCCACTTTGGAACGGAACATTCCCAGAGCCTGTGGTCTCAACCTTGAGGGTCATTTGCTCTTGTCGTGTTTGGAACGCACACTGTCTTTGCGTTTCGGCCGGCCCCCGAAAGGATGCACTGTGCACTCTGCAGACGTTCCCACGAAGTCTCGCTCGCAAGAGATCATAGTGTGCGGAACACGACACGTCTAGGCTTCATGGAACAGAGGCTGCCGGCTCGAGCTCTTGCAACCGAATCCACCTCCTCGACTGCGCTCACACTATCCTCTCACACGACAAAGTGACCAACTCGTTGGCGTTTGTGCTCAAGCTGTCCCCATCAAAGCGCCGTTCAAGTGCCCCCACTGTGACCACTGCGCTCAAAGTCATGTTGATTTGGTTGGTGCTTGATTTGAGCATACATGCGGTCTCACGCGTCGTCATCTTCGTCGAAGCGTGGTGGGCGGGCGGGAGCGTCGGACGCGCGTGATGCGTCGGGCGAAGCAGCTGCATGTGGCCCCGAGTAGTATCCTGAATCCGAGACGTTGGACTTTCTCGGTCCAGCATGCGATTCGGGATATCTCGACGTATCCGTCAATTCGGACCGCATGGATTCGTCCTGGTCTGTGGCTTGCAAGCTCCAATCCGCGCGTGCACTCGGTGCGCTCGGCGCTCTTAATGCGCTCGAATCGTCCAGTCTCGCCGGAAGCGGGGGCAGGAGAAGGTACGCCGTCCGTGCATCGAGTTCGGCCTGCAACTTTGTCTCTGCCTCCACCTCTGCGGGTGCGCGCAGCGAGCGAAGATGCGAAAAGGCGGTGGAGAAGAAGCCGCGAAGTTCGGCGACTTCGTGTGCCGAGATGTTGTGCATCTGCAGATGCACCGAGTTGAGCATGGGCACACCGGCGAGGATCTTGCTCTGGCGCGCCTCGCGGATGTCCTTGAGCAGCGCACGCACCCGGTTGGACTGCGGCACATCATCCGCAGCGTTTTCCAGCAGACTGCTCGACACGCCGACCCAGTGGTGCGGAAGCAGCGAGAAGCCCGGCTGCGTGGTTTCCTGCTTGAGCGTCTCGGTGAGCGCCTCGACGGACAGCCAGGTGGGCGGCACAATCACGGCTTTGCGTCGCTTCTTGAGGTATAGCGCCACCCATAGCGGCACAGTCGCAGGTGAGGGCGGTCGAAACGGACCGTAGATGCCGGAAAGAAGACGCACGCGGTCGATCGAGGTGAGGGGGACGATGGTGAGCGAGGTGCTAGGCAGAGAGGTGGTGGCGAGCTCGAGCTCGGTGGCGGTGAGCCCACGTGCGTGGGTCGACACCGACACGCTCGTGGATGCGACGCTCGAGCCGGACGAGGATGCGAATGCGCTCGACATGGTGCCGCTGTGTTGAAGGAGAAGTGGTCGCGGTGGGTGGAGCTCGAAGGGCGAAGTGTTGCTCTCTGAGGGTTGGCAGGCGAAAGACGCGCTGCGGTGGCGCGCCTTCTTGCACTCAACGCGACCCTTCGTTGCATCGGAGCCTCCACCTGCCCGATCCGAAAACTCAGTCGGCACGTCCGCCCCGGAGGCGCCAAGCCAAAGGCCAGGGTCCAAGGCTCGCTCGGCACAGCGTCCCGAATGTCGACTTCATTCAGACTCGCAAGCCTCCCACCCGCTGCTGCGCCTATCGGAACCAAGCCGACCTTCCTCCATCTTGCCACATAGAGAACGACGCAGAGCCTCGCAGCTGCCCCTCGCCACCTCGCGCCGATTGTTCGAGAGATCGCTCGCCCTCTCCGCTTCGTCTTGGCGCAATTACAGCCGACTCTCCTCTTTTCCCACGCCAAGTGGCAAGTATTAGTCCAAATCACCCCGGAAGACCCACAGACCAGCACAGACCGGGTGCATCAACTTCGCAGATATGCCTGGATCTATTCCGCATCGATCAAGGTATGCGCCGTTGCGGCGGGACACTGCCTCAAGCTCCACGCCGTCCCGCCTCCGGTCTGCATACCTCGATGCGCGAGCCTACCTCGACCGCACATGGCAGGCGTTCCTCGCGCTGCCTCCAGGCCAGCGCTACATCATCTACCTCGCTGTCGGCATCAAGGCGCTGATCTTTGCCGTCGTCGTCTACATTGGACCCGAGGCCATGTTCGACGCCACCGCCAAGCTCGCCATCTGGTTTGGCGCACAGCCGCTCGGAGCGGCGCTGCTCATCGCCCTTGTGGTGGCCGTCAGCTTCCCGCCACTCGTCGGCTACGGCACCTGCATCACCCTCTTTGGTCTCGGCTGGGGCGTCCAAGCCGATGCGACCGCGGAACACCCAAAGCTCAACGGCAATCTGTGGCATGCGTGGCTCCTAGCCTCGACTGCGTGTCTTCTTGGCGCCACCGTCTCGTTTGGCGTGCTGCGCTTTCTGATCGTGCACCACAGCAAGCGCGTGGCGTGGATCAGCTCGGCGCTCAATGACCCAAAATTCGTGGCGCTCTCGACGGCGGTGCGGCGCCGCGGACTGTCCATGGCCATCCTGATCCGCTTCTGCCCGTTCCCCTTTGCATACTCGAACCTCTTCTTCGCCAGCCTCGTCGACGCCGTCTCGCTCGGCCACTTTCTCGCGGCTACGGCGCTGATCACGCCCAAGTTGCTGCTGCACGTGTGGATCGGAACGAGGATGTTCGTGCTCATGGACAGGGAGCAGCGCGCCCATCTCGACGGATGGGCAAAGGCACTCAATGTGCTCTACATCATCATCGGGTCTGCAGTGGGGGCGGCGACAGGATGGATTGTCTGGTCAGAGACCAAAAAGGTGCTGCATGCAATCGAGCAGGAAGCACAGGTGCAGGAGGGTCAAGAGCAGACTTCCCGCCGCGCGCGCAGTTCTCGACAGACGCAGTACCGCGACAGCTCGCCAGACCTAAGCGCGGGAGAGGCTGGCACACCTTTTGTCCTCGACGTAGAAGGCAGTGCCGAGTCGGATTCTGACGCTGACGAGGTCGGTCGCGGCTTGCCTGCGCGCGGCCGTGCAAGCAAGGACAAGCAGAGCCTCCTTCCGCGCTAACTTATGCACACTATACAAATCACATTCATTTCCGTCACATCTGCGGCTTCATTGGACGCAAAGGGCTGTCTATTGCACGTCGATGGGCCCACACTAATCGGAGTCCTCGGCCGTCGCAAGCGCGGTATACGTGTCCTGACGCCCGCCTCCTCCGTCGGCCGACCGACCCAACGTCGTCGACACATCGCTGAGACTGACGCCCGACGTTTCGGGCAGGTGCCAGAACGTGAACGCGCAACTCAGCGCCGACACCACGCTAAACACCCCAAAACACCCCTGCGGCGTGATGAGCTTGACCAGATGCAGGAACGTCGACGAGACTAGCAGGTTCGTCGTCCAGTTCGTCGCCGTTGCCAGACCAGCACCCAGCCCGCGCACCTGGCCCGAAAAGATCTCGGCCTGCACCAGCCACGGTACGATGCCCAGCCCGAGCGCATAGCTGAGCGTGAAAAGCACCATGCAGATCAGTGTCCAGTACGGCCAGGCCGAATGCGCCTCGTTTGCTGCTTCGGGGCTGCCGCTCACGGGCCCCAGGTCGATCTGGCTGAACCCGATGCTGACGAGCACCAGCGAGACGGTCATCGCGGCCGTCGTGTATAGCATGAGCTTCCGACGACCCCAGCCGTCGATGTAGCGCATCGACACGGCCGTACCCAGGAAGTTGGCCACAGCGATGCCCACTGCCGCTGCGTTTGGGTTGGCTACAAAGCCCGCCATGAGCAGGAGCCGACCGCTGAAGTACATGAGCGAGTTGAATCCACTCGCCTGCTGAAAGAACTGGAGTGCACATGCGATGACGAGCGCACGTCGATGCGTCGGATCGTGCAGCAGCGTGTTGAGCTTGCTCTTGACCTGCGTCGTTCGTTGGCGCGCGCTCGAAGTGAGCTGCTGAGGCGCCCCAGTGATGCGCTCCAGCGTCGCCTGCAAGTTGGCCTGTCCAGTGCTGTTTTCCTCGGCACGGCGCTCGGTAGCCTGCGAGGCATCTGGGTCCGTCTCTTCACGCTGCGTGGCGCCCTCCATGCTGAGTGCGATGCGCTCGATCTCGCTGTCGATCATGCGTGCGCTTGCGTTCGGATAGATGCGCTGCAGCACGCGGCGTGCACGGATGATACGTCCGCGCGCCACGAGCCAGCGCGGCGACTCGTCCAGGTAGATCATGCCTATCAGCTGGAACACCGCCGGAATGCTACCTGCCAGCACCATCCAGCGCCAGCCGTGTGGGAGATTGTAGAAGGCAGCATCGATGAGATAGGCGATGACCTGGCCGCCTGTGACGAGCAGGCTGTTGATGCCGACGACGCGCCCGCGTACCTTTGTGGGCGCCACCTCGGCTAGGTAGGTCGGCACCACCATGCTAGCCATGCCCACTCCGAGACCCACCAGGATGCGGCCGAGGACCAGCTCGCGGACCACCTGCGAAGCAGCCTGCTCGAGCGCCCCGAGAAGGAATAGGACACCGGAGGCGATCATGACCTTCTTGCGCCCGAGCCAATCGGCCATCCTGCCTGCGACGACCGAGCCTAAAATGGCGCCCACCGTGGTGGCGCTCACGATGAGCTCCTGCTCGCCTTCGCTCAGCTCGTGACCCAGGTCTGCATGGATGGCAACAAGCATGCCGCTTGCGATCCCTGTATCCCAGCCGAACTGCAGACCACCCAAACACGCCACGCCCGTAAGCCGTGCGAGGTAGCTCGCCGAGCTCAGCTCCGAGTCATCCAGAGGTCGAAGCGTGTCTTGCTCGTCCTCGTCCTCGTCATTGTCTTCCGTGGACCTCAGCGGGTTGAAGCGGTCCAAGTCGCTCAGGCGATTCGACTTCTTGCCGCTTGCTGTCGGCTGCGTTGGCGGTGGAGCGTCAACGCCGACGGTTGCCGGATCAGTCATCGCGGTCTCCTGTGTGCGCTCAGCCGTGCCGACTCCAGACGGCGAGAACGAGTCCAGCTCAAAGCTTGCCTCTGATGACTGTGAAGGGGAACTGATGCGGAACGATGGCAGGGAGAGTCCCCCACGCTGTGTTCCGCTGCTGGCTGTCGTGGCTGGAATCGTGGCGGTCCAACTTTGATTGTTGTGACGGTGCCAACTTTACGTCGCCGAGAGCCGCGCTGAGGTCGCTGACCGTATCCGTGTCTGCCGAACTCTAATGTCTGCAAGCGCAATCGAGAGATGAGAGGAAAGGAAGCTCGCGTGGGGTTTCCGTTGCAGCAGAGGGATGGTGGTCTGCGTGATGCGCGCACGGTCGCTGTGTGAGTGATGTAGACCCTGCTGTGTCCGCTGCAGCCGAAATGCAACCTCCACTCCCACCAGCTCACGCGACTGTCACGCCCCTCTCAGAGCGCCGCCAGAACGCGGATCGTCAGAATTAAGCTAGAAAGCCACCTTGTGAAAGTATATTCGTCAACTTGCATCCGCTATGAAGGCGGTCGATTCTGACTCGTCGAAACAGGTCCCACAAGATGGGACGCACGCTGCCAGACCGGTTTGACTGCGCAGTCCTACAAGCCATGGCCAACGTTTGCGCTGATTGTGCGCCTGGTCCGCTGATCATCGGCAGCGAGCCTCTTCGATCGGCAAAAGGGCAGAGACATGCCCACAAACGGCCCCACTTGTCATACGATGTTCTGCGCACCCTTCAATCGCTGATGCGGTGCATGTTGCGGTGCATGTTGCGGTGCATGATCCTTTCTTGTGCGGAGAAATGGTGGGCAGCATTTTAAGTTCGAGCGCGTACGAGTCCATCAACACGCGTTGGACGTGTGATCACAGGCCGCTTCATTCTGATGAGCTTTGTGACTTGCACAGAAGACAAGCTTTCGGCTCGCGCGAGGCCACTGCGCATGAAATCTTGGCTTGTTGGCGCAGAGCCCTCTGATTCTGCCTGCGCTTCCCTTTGGAGGTCCCGGCAATTGTGTGCGCTTGCGTATGCACTTGTCTTTGAGCTCCAGCTGCGTCTACTGCTTCCGCAATGACTGAGAATTGGGAGCGCAATTACAATGCGCATTCATTCCTCAGGGCCCCTTTGTTTGGCCGGCGACGATGTTCGACGAAGCGCACACCACCGTGCGGATCACCGTGCGGAACGGTAGCGGTTTACGATTGCGCATCGCTGGACACCCGGATCTATATATGGTAAGCTCAGACGCTTCTCCGATACTGCATCTCGGCACCAAGCCATTTCTTCTTCCGCCGAAGCCTCTTTCCTCGCAAATTGCCAAACATCTCTTCGACCATCTCATTCTCGAACAATCATGGGCGATTTCGGGCACGACTTCAACAAGTTCCTGGAGATCGTGACGGAGATCTACAACAAGTACGGATCGCTCGACGATTACGCCAGGGGCGAAGGTGTATGGCGTTTCCGGGTGTTTGGCATGTACACTGTGACGGCTCGGGCCATCATGGAGTACAACGGCATGGATCAGTACGACACGAGCCTGTTCGGCGCCCAGAAGCTGCTGGACGACATTGTGGGAACTACGGACTGGGCTCAGCTCAGCGAATCGCACCTGTGCCATCGTCAGGATCAGGCTCATGGTTGCTTCGTCCACCACCTCACCGGCACTATGTACAGCATCGTGTTGGACGTTCGTGCCTTGGGCGAGGATTGAATCGCATTTCTGCAACAGCCAATCAGTCAACAAGCCTTGACGATTGACGATTCGAGTCTTCGAAACCCTTCAGTAGGTACTGGAAGTGGGCTCGGCCTGTCACCTGTCAGATCAAGATGAGCTGATCAAATTTCTATTATGCTCTTGCCAGGTCATCTTGCTTCGTCCTGATATGCTTTCGCAATTGACTGCCATCAGATATGGCTGCTGCTGAACGAAAGAAGAAGGGTTGATGTCTCGTCATGGACAGATCGTGTTCGACTCGAGCTTTCGAACGACTAGCGCCGGCTTCCTCACCCCCAAACAACTGCCTCCACGACCGCCACCATGGGTTTGCAGATAAAGATCTCGATCACGCCCGAATAGGGCAAGTCAGAAGACCCTGACACATTTGACGTCTTTTGCCTGTCGCTCGCGGGGCCTTTCCGCCAAAACCTGTACCTAGCAGCCTTCGAGAAAGCATCAGAATAGCGTCCCGACTGTCAAGACTCCGTGCGCTCTCCGGATCGTGTCAAACCCTTCGATTTCATTGAGCTTCCGTAGAATCGATCCAGTAGAGTGGGCGTCCGATTCCTTTGTCCTTGTAGCTCGCTACTTTTGATGAGACCAGGTATGGCGCATCTTGGCCTGCATTACTCTTGCCGCTATCAATCGTCAGGACCACCCAAGCGATATTTGATGGACCGCTCATTTGCCTTTTCTTTTTCTTTTTCAATTTCCGTTTTCTTTATTTTCTCCCTCCCCTCCTCGCGCAGTGACACCATCTCGAAATGTTGCCTTCTAGCATAACGCGCTCATTTCCAAACCAACCTTGGCCAAAATTTGAACTGAAGAATCCTCTCGCGATTCCGCGCCGACCCAGGTGGACAAAAAGCTAAAAATCGAGGTCACGGCGGGACTCGAACCCGCAGCCTTAGAGTTGTTCTGAAAAGGGGTAAAACTCCTCTTCTCAGTGTAGAAGCTCTATGCGCTAGCCATTGCGCCACGAGACCGTCGTTTTCGGGTAAAAGCAAATATTGCGTACATATACCTACATTGCGTGTCTTGAATATTTTCATCACCTTACGATGTCCGATGGATCTAACCTGCATTCAGAGGGGCAAAGAGCACGCGTGGTCACGCGAGGTTCAAGATTGAGGATCGGCATTTCGAGACATACTTGTCGGCAGTGCTTCGCCGATGGGGCAGGGTGAAGAGGGAGGGTCCAAGCAGCGGAAAAGCAGCGGAATGCGCAGCCGCGGAAGAGCTCATCCTCTGCCGAACCAGCCGCCGAGCCAGCCCTTCTTCTTGTTGGCGGCCTCGGCCTCGAGACGCGCCTCTTCTTCTTCGGCAAGTGCGTTGCCAGGGTCGTAGGCGAGCGAGACGTCTCCTGCCTCCTCAGCTTCGTCCTCTTCGTCTTGAGGCTCGTCGTACGTTTCGGCCTCCTCTGTCTCCTCGACGACTTGAGGCTGCGCTGCCTTGGGCTCGGGCTGCTTCACCGGAGCGGCCTTGGGCACGGCAGCAGCCTTGGCCTTCGCGGCTGCCTTGGCGGGTGCTTTGGTTGCGGCCGTGGGCTTGGCCTTGGCAGCGGGAGTGGAGGCAGCCCGCTGTTCCTGCTCGTATTCGGCCTTGACCTCGTCGGGCACCCGGCGAGCGTCTTCGAGCGAGACAGGGTCAAAGTCGATGTACTTGCGGGCAAGCTCCTGGAGCGCCTGGCCGGCACGCGAGTCGGACATGGTCGAGCCAGCCTTGCGCTTCTTGCCCTGATCCTGCTGCTGAGCTTTGAGAATTGCCTTCTGCACGCCGCGCTTAAGACCGGCGAGAACCTCGTCAGAGTGATCGAACACGGCGTCAGAGCCACTGCTCGACTTGAGGCGCGGCGGGAAGTCGGCGTCTTCTTCATCGACATCCTCGGCGAGCTCGGCCGCCTGACGCGCCTGTCGGATGTACAGCTGAGCACGGGTCAGCAGCAGGACGGCCTCGGCATGAGCACCCGACAGCGAGAAAGCACGGGCCAGATGCCTCAGAATCTCGCTTCGGAACCAAGCCGCCTTGGCCTCCACAAGACTGGACACGTCGGGCTCGGACTCGATGAGACCGATGGAGCCCATGGCCACGAGACTCGTCTCGGCCGCATCGAGGAGCTTGGCGAGCGAGGGGACTGCACGGGCGCCGCGTCGCTTCGACTTTTGCGCCGCGATGGCACGCGCTCGGTTCTCGCGGGCCAGCGATTGTCTCGAGCGGAGCTTTCGCGTTCCGCTACGAGCAGGCTTGCGTGCCTGCTTGCGGCCGGCAGAGCGCTGCTGCTTGGCACGGGATCCAGGCGGGTTTCTACGAGGGGTGGCTTTCTTTGCAGCAGCAGCTTCGTCGAGCTTCTGCTGCTTGCGCTTGCTCCTCTTGCTGCGCTTCGCAGCAGCACCAGTGCCAGCCTTGCCTTTGAGGCGAGCCTCGACGCTCGACATGGCGCGCTTTTCACGCTTCTCGGCGCGCTGCTCGACCTCAGCCACGAGGCGCAGGTTGCGCCAGATGCGCAGGGCGAGCAGGCGGTAAAAGACAAAGTCGTGCGCGGTCTGCAGATCCTTGCTGGCGGTCTCGTAGCGAGCGGAGTGGCTCTTGGAGAGGGCCTCGGCGTTGTCGTCGACGAGCTTGCGAGCGACGTCCTCTGCATCGGTGAAGGCGCTGAGGGCGCGGTCGAAGGGGTCGAGCTCGGTGCGTCCAGCCTTGCCGAGGCGGACGGTGGAGCTGGTGGCATTGCGTGCGCCGTCGGCCGACGTCTCGCCCTGAGCGAGTTCGCGCTTCTTTGCTTTGCGCTGGGCGTGCGACAGACGAGGACGCTTGCCGTCCTTGGCCTGTGCATTGGCCGACTTGCTGCGCGTGGCTGCGGAGGCATCGCGGTCGTTGACGGCCTCGACAAGGACCGAGTCTCGGAGCGCAGCTTCCTCGGACTGAGCGGCGACGATGGTGTCGAGAAGCTCGGGGTTGCGCACGGGGATCTGGCGGCCATGCCAGTTGAGCGAGAGGGCCTGCTTCTGCACAGTGCCAGCCTCGGCTTTGGCGGCGGCGAGCTCCTGGAGCAGCTTGGCATAGCCAGGCAGAGCCTGTTCACAGGCCTCGGGGGTGGCGGTGGATTGGGCGATGCGGTCCATGTCCTGCTCCGAGTTGCCGAGCTGGTAGGCCGAGTAGCGCATCTGGGCCTCGCCGGCGTCGACGAAGCTGTTGGCAAGGGCCTCTGCGCGACTGGTGGGGCTGTTGGCGGCGATGGCGTTGAGGAGGGTGCGGTTGACCGAGAGGAGCTGGAGGGCCTTGTCCCACCGGGATCGGTCGAAGGCGGTGGTCGCCTTGATGGTAAGAAGATATGCGGCAGTCTCTGCACGTGCATAGGCATCGAAGCGTGAGGCGAGCGCCTGGACGAGCTGGTGGAGCGAATCGGACCACTGCTCTGCGCGGCGGAGCCTGGAGATGCCACGCTTGCGGAGCTGCGGGTTGGAGTCGTCCTCGAAAGCTTCCGAGCGAAGCTCCTGGGAGTAAGCCCAAGCTCTCTCGGCCTCAAAGAGCAGCAGGTGTGCGGGTCGAGCATCGTTGACCTGGGCGACGTCGAGCGTTTTGGCGGTGAAGACGTTGCCATGACCCTTGGCGTCGGCGCTTTGGGCAGCGGCCTGCTGGACCTTCTTGGGCTTCTTGCCGCGAGCAGCCTTGGCACCCTTGTTCTTCTTGGCGTCCGCCTTGTGCGAGCCATCGGCGTGGGTCAGAGACAGCAGTTCGCGGAGACGATGCACCTTGGAGGCGCAGTAGCGTCGGTAACGCGCGTAGTCCTGCTGGCGCATGCCATGCTCGTTGCGTGCTTCGCTGATGAGCTGGAGAAGCGGAAAGGCGATGGGATTACCGCCAGCGTTGGCGACCTCGTCGCGCTTGGACAAGTCGACCTCCATCGTGGTAATCGCGCAGTTTCGTGTGGTGGTGTGGAGTCAAAAGTGGAATGCAGTTGCAGCGCCCTTGGCAGGCGGTGGCATCCCAACTCGAACAGCCGCCTTGGTCGTCAGACGCTGGCCACCTCTTCGGACCCGACGACGCTCAATTTCGATTTTTTCACGATAAACTGTGTACGGTAACGGTCTGACAGATCAAACAAAAAATTCTGCAAAGAGAGCTATCTGCAGACGACGACGGAGCCGGTCCTCTTGGAAGGCCGAAGACTTGCGACAAGGAAGAGGGCTGAACGGCATAAGAGTACATGGTCCGGTTGTCAACTCATTCGGCCGGTGCAGGCGTTAGGGATCTGCGCTCTTCTGGGGCGAGATCTAGTCTACAGGCTTGAAAGCCGGGAGCCGGGGAGGCGGGACGAGGGCTCGATGTCCACCAAGGAGATTCACGGTTCCTATTGTTCTAGTCGCTGCGGCTGCTCTATTCCTCATGCGAAAGTTGAGGGTGTCGTGTGGAAGTCGCATCTGTGTGCAAGCAGGAGGAAGCGTCGGACGGCGAATTCGGTGATTTTGGCAGTGGCCACGTTCGCACCGTTTGGTTGCCGTTGCACGGACCACGCGTGCAGCCGAGCGAACGTGCGGGTCCAAAGTGCGCACGTAGCTCCCCACCCCACGTCACTTTCGGCGCAGACCCTCGACGCCCTTTCCCCACAGTTCCACACCTGAACCTGAAAGCGTGGCACGACCTGCAGCCCTGCCTTTGCTCTGCCCTTTGTTATTAATATGCTCAAATGTTTTGACTGCCAGTCTGCTTCCAACACGGTATGTCATAATAAAGGTATAGCAAGAGGGTCTTCGAACGTTGCGAATGTAGCAGACGCACATGTTCGAGTGAAAGCAGAAGTCGGGAATTGCGGGTGCGGGTGCGGATGCGGATGCGGATGCAGCCGACACGTCCATCTTTGCCGACCGCGCCTGTCTGGCAATTTAGGCTCCTCTGCACGTTCCCTCATCAGTCCACCGTAGTTGCCCGAGCCGCAAGGGCACATCACATCCCCTTCAGCCTTGGCGTGGCTTGCCCAACAAAGCTCCAAGTCTATTTCTCCTGCTCCGTGAATGCCACTCGACCTGCTACTCCGAGCTCGAGGGGTAAGAACGAGACCGAGTTACCCTGGCAGAGCGGAAATACCGTCGCCGCACGGACCTTATCAAAGGAAGAGCGGCGTCGAGCAATGCCCACACCCACACCCCCACACTGTAAACCTCGGTGAGCTTGGCTCGTTCTCGACTCCAGCGATAAGCTCTTCGTTCATTCATAACGCTCGTCACGATGTGATTGTGCTGAGGAAGGAGCGCGCACGGAAATGTGACGGCGGGTGGGATGAAGCCCACAAGAGATCAGGAGCAGGATAATTGGAAGCTTCTGAGGCGCTGCACAGTCCGCATGAGCGACAGGTCAACGAGCGCTTAGAGGCACAACTCGTGCAGCGACCCTCCCCCAGCATCTTTGGATGGCAGCTGAGACGCACCCGCTCTCGCTCGCTAAGCCTGCCTGGTCGCGTTCATGAGCGCGACCGGCGCAATGCAACACTTTCTTCTTCTTCGCGAAGAAGCTCACGAGTGTCACAGCGCCTCTGCCTCTGTGCATGCACCTTCTGAGCCTGTCCCTTGACATGCAGCTCCCTCTTGCCCGTGCAGCAAGCCTTCCGGAAGAGCCCTACCCCTGGTGAGCCGTGCGCAGACGCCACCCAGCCCGACAGAATTGCACCCTTCTGCTGGCCGCCACCTTCCCCATCCTTTAAGAAGGACAAGCCTCAGCACGACCTTCGTACTTCCACGACAACCACCACTATTCTGTGCTTGGCCCACTTTCCCGAGTCGTGTTCAACCCTTCCCGCCTCATCTCAGCTCAACGCTGCGGTCTCATCTTCCCCCTCCACTCGCTCGTCTTTGATCGATTGTCGCTGCTCACCGTTCGGCTGACATTCGCAGATCAGCAGAAGGAACTGCGTTCATCTTCATCTTCCCCGTGCCATCTTCAACCACCATTCTTCCAATGGAGAAGCGTGACAAGATGGGCGGGTTCGTTGAATCCAGCGTCGCCGGCACGCCTTTGGAGCAGCTCTACTCCTACCTGCCGCACTCGGTAGTCAATCTGACGGCTGTCTTCACCGCTTTCATGACCCTGCTTGGACTTGCAGCCGCCCTCAGCAAAAAGGTGCGCGACAGTCTTGTCTTTAGTTACACCTGCTTCCTCCAGCCCCTCGGCAAGACGACCAACCAGGCACAGCGCCTCGACAAGTTCTACCAGCACCAGGCAAATGGTAAGCTTCCTCTTGACCCACATCGGATCAATACAGAGCCATGCGGAGAGACAAGATCTGTAGCTGACGTTTGCTATGTCTCTTCGTGAATGCCAGTCTACGATTCCACTCGCTCTGGTCTCCTTAAGGGGCGCAGGACCATGCTCAAGCTCTGCGCCGCCCAGTTGCGCGACATGCAAGCTTCTAACCCTGGCAAGCCGCTTGTCTGGGTTGATATCGGAGGCGGTACCGGATGGAACATCGAGCAGATGAACGAGTACTTTCCCATCAGCCAGCTCTCGCAGGTCTATCTCATCGACCTCTGCGAGCCTCTGCTCGAGGTGGCGCGCAAGCGTTTCGCCGCCAAGGGGTTCAACAATGTTCAGGTGCTCTGCCAGGATGCAAGCCAGTTCAGCATGCCTGGCCTTGCTCCTGAACAGAAGGTGGACCTCTTCACCTGCAGCTACTCGATCTCGATGATTCCTCCGTTCTACGCCGTGCTCGACCGTATTTACGATTTCCTCGACCCCGTCACGGGCGTCTTTGGTGTCGTCGACTTTTACGTTTCCGGCAAGACCACGCCTACCGAGAAGAGCCCCTGGATTGGCGGCGACACTCGACGTCAGTGCGGCTGGCTCAGTCGCTGGTTCTGGAGCATGTGGTTCTCGCTCGACCACATCGAGCTCCACCCGGCCCGCCGCGACTACCTCGAGCACAAATTCGGCACCATCAAGTGCTTCAACGGCCGCAACAACTTCATCGTCCCCTTCATCGTGCGCATTCCCTACTACATCTGGCTCGGCGTTTCGCGTGAGCGTGACACGCTCAAGGCGATTCAGGCGTTCGAGGTCGAATCCGGCAACCGTGTCGTTGTGCCTCCTTCGTTCCCCGAGCTCGCCTACCTCCACGCTGGAAACGAGGACGCCAAGATCACTAGCGCGACCGCCACTGCAGTCGATGCCGAAGCTACCTTTGATTCGACTCGCAGCCTTCTGCGACGAAGGGTGTCGGAAGCTACCACCGACAGCGATGCTGACTCTGACCGTCCTCTCAAGCTCGACCTCGGACCCCACTTTCCGCTGAGCTCGTTCCACTATCAGAAGCGACAGTGGCGCCTTCCATTTGTCGACAACGAGTTCAGCGACATGTTCCGTACTTGGATCTACGGCTTTACGTGGGAGGACCCCTACGTCGACATGGAGCACCTCAACTTGGGCCGCGATGACTCGATCCTCTGCATCACCTCGGCGGGCGACAATGCTCTCCACTACGCGGTTGCAGGCAAGCCGCACAGGATCCACGCTGTCGACATGAACCCGTGCCAGGGCCACCTGCTTGAACTCAAGCTGGCCTGCATCGCCTCCCTCTCATACGACGAGATGTGGCAGATGTTCGGCGAGGGTCGCATCGACAACTTCCGCGAGCTCCTCGATTCCAAGATCTCGCCCTTCCTCTCGTCGCACGCCTACCAGTTCTGGAGGCTCAACACGCACGCCTTTGACAAGGCCTTCTACTTCCGCGGCTACTCGGGCCACGCGCTTCGCCTGGCCAAGTTCGCCTTCACGGTGACGGGTGTGCGTCGCTGTGTCGAGAAGATGTGCACGGCCAACTCGGTCGAGGAGCAGCAGGATGTGTGGAACCGCAAGCTTCGATCGACGCTGATCAACAAGCCGCTCATCCGCCTCTTCCTCTCCAACCCTGCCTTCCTGTGGAACGCGCTTGGCGTCCCGATGAACCAGTACCAGATCTTCCTCGACGAGGGTGTATCGGCGGAGCAGTTTGCTATCGACACGCTCGACTCGATCCCGAGCCGAAGCCTGATCAAGAACGACAACTACCACTACCAGCTCTGCCTCATGCACAAGTACACAAAGCAGAGCTGCCCGCTCTACCTCAAGCCAGACGGGTTTGCTGCGCTCAAGAAGCAGGCGCTCCAAGATGGCCTCGACTCGTTCCGTCTGCATACGGACTCGATCGTCAACGTGTTGCGTGGATTCGAGGACGGCGCGCTGACCCGTGCCATCACCATGGACCACATGGACTGGTTCGATCCCGTTCCTGCTTCGCGTCCGGCACCCACGCTCAAGCAGGCGCGCAAGGACTCGGACAAGTCGGTCTCGGACCTCGACCGCGAGGTGTGCGAGCTGTCCCGTGTTGTGCGTTCTGGTGGCGCGGTCTTCTACCGCAGTGCCGCCAAGAAGCCTTGGTACAACCAGCGTTTCGAGAAGATGGGCTTCAAGGTCGAGCCCGTTCACATCCGTGAGACCGGCAAGCCCATTGACAACGTCAACATGTACGCCAGCTTCTACAAGGCCACGCGCCTGTAGACACTCGGGCCGAATGCGGCCCTCTGGCAAGGTCTGCACTGATCCGGCCTCCTGGTTGTAGAATCGCTACAAGAGGAGATCCTATCGCAATCAAGTTATATACCAGCAGACAGAGGATGGGATCGTTCGTGAGATGATGGAACGCGAAGGATTCAAATTGAGCTTGCTTACACTGTGGGTTGGGTGGCGCAAGTGAGCCAATCGAGCACGTCTTGGATTGCACGATGCAGGTTTGCGCGCTACTCGACTTGTCCCGTCGGGCAAATTCGTAGGGGTTTAGAGCTCAGATTCGGCGCGCACGTCCCCTGCACTCCTTCGGGTGGAGGCTTAAGGCCGCACGGGGGGCGGGGTTTCGCCGTGCTAGGTTCGTGACTCCTTCTCACCTCCATCATCGCTTCCTGGAAGACATCAAGGCCGCTTCGCCCAGAACATACTAGACTAATTACGCCAGCTACAATTGCGCATCAACGCTGTCTGTGCGCGCTTGAATTCCGACCACCATGGCTCCCGTTGCTGTGCCCGCCCAACCGGGGGCATCCCATGCTTCCAAAAGCACAGCCCCGCCCACCGCGGGCGACGAGCAGCAGTCGCTGTCATCCTTCTCGGACTATCACCTCGACTACCGCCTCTGGAACCCCTCCGACCCTACAAGTGCCTCCTCGCAGCAATTTGTCTCTGCCCTCCGCACCGCGATGGTCGGAATTGGCTTCTTCTACCTCCACGGCACGCCGCTGGACGCCAAGCGCGTCGAGATGTTTGATCTGGTCGAGCGGTTCTTCGCGCTACCGGTGGAGGAGCGCATGAAGATCGATATGGACAACAGTCGACACTTTCGCGGATACTGCAAGTTCGGCGACGAACGCACACAGTCCAAGCAGGATCTTCGCGATCAGGTAGACTATGCGCCCGAGGTGCAGCCGATTCAGGATGCGGCGTTGGTGGAAAAGTGGCCCTTCTTGAACTTGTACGGTCCGAATCAGTTCGTCCAGGACGAGGTGTGCAAGGACCACAGGAGGATCGTGCTGGACTGGTTCGAAACAGCCAACGAAGTGTCCAACCAGCTCACGAGGGCGATCGAGTTGGCGCTCGGAGTTCGACAAGGCGAGCTGGCACAATTCCTCACAGGGAATGTCGGGAAAGAATCGGTCGATGCGGAGCTAAGCAAGCTGGGTGCATTGCCGTATGCGCGCATGAAGACGATCCGATACCCCACGGGCGACACGGTGGATGGCATCAAGCGGTCTGATCCAGCAAGCACGCAAGGCGTAGGAGCACACAAGGATAGCGGCTGGCTCACCATTCTTGCCCCCTCTGCCGAAGTTGGCGGACTGGAGGCGCAGGACTTTGACGGATCCTGGCTCTCTGTGCCGCACGTCGAGGGGTCGATCATCGTCAATTTTGGTCAGCAGGTCGAGTTCCTGACCAACAGCATCGTGCAAGCTGCAACGCACCGCGTAGTCTCGAACCCCGCCGGCTCCAAAGACCGGTACTCGGTCGCATTTTTCAGCTCGCCTGCTCTCAATGTCTACTTGGAATCGCTAGACTCGGATCGCTTCAGCCCGGAGCTCGTTAGCGCCTGGAAGGCTGCGCAGTCGAAACGGAATGACGGCGAAATCGTCAGCGACGTTCCCAAGGGAGACCTCTTCGCACGGGCCGACGAGCCGTTTGGCTGGATCAACTGGAGAGGACTCGTCAGAAGCCATCCTGGCGTCGTCCGTGCTTTCTACCGTCACATTGTTCAGGACTAGTCGTGCTGTTCGTATAATCACTAAACGCCAAGTCTGCATGCGCCACTGTGAAACGTGCAAATCGACTCCGACAAGAGTAAGCGCTTGCCCTGCTGAGCGTGCGGAAGTTGTGTTCCGCAATGCGGCGGCGCTGGTACAAGAGGGTATGCCAAGTGCTTGGGCACGAGCAGTGTCTTTGACTGTGAATGAGATGTCGATGCCAGTGTGCTTCACGAGCTCGCGGATGAAACTCAGAAAGCTGAGAGGCTAAAGGGAAACTTCCGAAGATAAACGGAGACCTCGTGTGTCTTTCGAATTCCGTATGAGGACGGCTTGATCAGCTTGGGATCGATGCCCACGCTGAGTGCCAGCTAAGTTACGAGGACCGCTTGCAAGCGGTCCCACCGAGCGGATGATAGCTTGGACCCTCTCAAATCCGCACCTGCCCAACCCCCACGACCGTCGAGTACACTCATGCCGATGCTGCGTGGTCGGCTTTCAAGGTTTTCCGCACTGTCCGCATCTCCGCAAATTACACTGGCCGCTCATAGTCAATGTCCGTCTTCTCGTTTCCTTCTCCTCTCTGGATCACATCCACCATCCTCAAAACATACTTCCCTCTCAACGCTGAACAACATCATGGATGGATGGTTATACTATGTCCCCGGACCCGATGGTCGCCTGGTCTTGGATCCGAAGTTGAACGGTAAGTCGCTGCCTCTTTGTCGCCCCATCGTGAGCCAACAGCTCTAACTCACGCCGATATCACACTCGACCAAAAATTCTCTCCTCGATTACAGCTAAAACGCTTCAACAGAGTGTCTCGATCGGCGAACGGGTAGCCGCAAGCTTCTCGAAGCTGGATCTGGCAGAGGCCACCCTCATCAGCAAGTCTCGTTCGGAGAAGAAAAAGGCTCAGAAAGCCCGCAAGGAAAAGAAGAAGCAGCGCATGCAACCCACGAAGCCTGCCGAGGAGTGCAAGGTAGGCCCTCGAAAGGGTATCGTGGAGCTTCAGTGGCCTCAAGGATGCTGCTCCGGCTGCGCGGCCAACGATGGTCACGGCCGACCTGATCAGGAGACTTCCGAGCCGCACTCACGTCCGTATCCCTGTGCAGCCTCGTCCGCTCAAAACATCAAGGTCACGATCACGATCGAGTGAGCCTCTCGGACGCTGGCGAAAGGTCGATTGCCGTCTGAATAAGCGTGCCGAACTCAGTATTTGCACAACGACGACACCATTCGCCCCAATCCCAGGACGATGCTAGCTGATTCGCCCGTGCGAGACATTGTCGAGCACCAGTCGAGACCACTTTCCTGCAATCACCAATTGCCAAACTTTCGTATGTGAATGTGGGAAGCCATGAGCCTGCTGAAGAGAGGATAGCGTGGGGGAGTCCTGAACTCCCGTCGAGAGTGCGGAAGCTGTGTGCTCAGAGAGCGGAAGCTGTGTTCTGAGAGTGCGGAAGTTGCGTACCATAACGTACAGCGGTGCGACTGGAGCTGGTGCCACTCGCTGTCGTGCATATATACCCGCATGCTTGTCCCTCCAACGTCTTCCCATCACCACCACCACCAACCTCGTCCCAATCACTTTCCTCTAAGGATCGTAAGGACGCTGACTTTCTTCTTAACCCAAAGAGTCTAGGTAAGTCGCTGTCAACTCGCATCGCTTCGTGTCGTCCGATTTCTAAAGCTGATTATCAGCCACCACAACGTTGCTCCTTCCGCTGCAACAGCCTTCCTGACTCAATACTCACTAGTTGCCCCTCTTCTTGGTCAGCGGAGCCATGCCGCCCCACGCGGCTGCCAGTCGCGATGCTCGGAAGTGGAAGAAGGCTGCGAGAGCGAGGAGAAACAGGTCGCTCAGCAGTCTACCGGCCCGTATTGGCCAGGCTGCCTCTGGTCAGGGTCCCTCAAGCGCAGCCGCGACGACCAAGCAGAACCATGAGCCGAGCGAGCGAGAGGCCGAAACCTCGTCGACCTCAGCTGCTTCCAGCAAAACGGCAGCCCCCTCAGGCGCCGCCGAAACGAAGCAGGTCAAAGCAGTCAGCCAGCAATCGTCCGAAAGCTCATCGAGCCCGGCCGTGGCAGACACCACAACGCTCGGTAAGTCTCGCAACGCGAAGCCTAAGGACAAGCAGGCTCGGAAGCAGGGCCAACGAAAGCGCTCGTCCCTGTCGGTCGGGGAGCGCAGACGATTGCCTTCAATCAAGAAGCAGAAATTGCGAGAGATGCTCGTCAGCAGGAATTGGCCCGAGAGGCCCTGCGACGCTTGCGTCATGACTGGGTGGACTTGCGTTCCTCCGCCGCCTGAAGGGCATGCGGAGAAGTGCCAGAGTTGCACTCCCGCTGGTGTCATATGCAGCCTCCGCTGGGTGCTTCGAGGAACCGGCGAAATCCTTGCGGAACTCAAGGATCATCCCGACATCATCGAGGATAGCCCTGCCTTCCTCGCCGCCGAGGAGAAGGCGCTCAACAGGTGGATCGACTACGACTTCTAAGGCCGCGTTGGTCAGTAGACCTCCAAGAGAATCCGAGGCGCACTTTCTTCCGCAGTCTTGGGCGTTCGAGACCCGAGGATCACGATTGCATGGATGTCGCTCACTTTCGGTCAGACGTACCTGTCAATTGCAAATCGAGGTGAGCTCGCAAGTCTCGACAATACACAAAGAGGACGCCATGCAAAAATCGGGGTCATGGAAGCTGACATTGGATGCCTCTGTCCAAACAGAATCTCGGAGCGCTACTTGGGCTCGCCTTCGACGGCGCCTCGCCACCACTTGGGCAGGCACGAGTACCCTTCGCGATCGAACGACTGCTTGGGATCGCAATTGCATCGACCCGAATCGTGGTACTTCTTGCGATTAGCGGGGCAGTGGTTAAACGGGTTGTGGAAGTAACCGATATCGTCGAAGTGGTGCAATCGACTTCGATCGAGCATGATTGCGACTGCGATTGAGTGCACGGGAGCATCACCCCATCGCTCGTAGAAGAACCCACCAGCCTTGTCGAGCCATTCGAAGTAGTCCATGTACGGTTTTGACCGCCACCAGCGTAGATCACCAATCTCGAAGTTACTCCAGAAGTGGCAAAGATTCCAGCCAGGTTCGAGCAGACGTTGCGGCTCGTCGGTGAGGAAGTGAAGGCCGTGGTCCTTGGCGAGGTATTCCGGGTGTGCGGCGATGAACTGTTTTGTGGTGTCCCAGAGGGTGGGCACCGTATCGAAGTACTCGTAGAGGGCCATTGTGAATCCGTAAGTCTTGTTGTTCATCTGCATGAAGACGAAGGGGTCGTAGTCGAGGTCGCAGTAGAGCTTGATGCCGGGTTCGACGCGCCAGTAGTAGTCGAGGTCGAGGGTGAGCTCGTGGCGGAAGAAGAAGCCGGACTGGTATCGGCACATGTGACGATAGCTCTCGGAGGAGCCGTAGATGGTGTCCTTCATCTTGACGCGCGTCTCTGCGGCCTTTTCTTGGCTGATAAAGTCGGGGTAGCCCCAATGTTCCTTGGGGATGAGACCGAAGCGGCATTCGCTGCGGGTCATCTGTCGGACGCCGCGCTTGAACTCTTCGGTGAAGGGTTCGTTGTTGAGGAAGATCCAAGGGTAGCCGTACTTGCGGTTGAACTTCTCCTCTACGTCGCGCATGGAGGCGCGCATGCCCTCGAGTTCCGAGTTTCGGACGAGGACGATGAAGCCGGCCTTGGCTCGGGGCGCCTGGTTGGCCATCTGGGGTACAAAGGTGGGCGGATAGAGGTTGCCGTCGTCGCCGACCTGCGCCCATTTGGAGAGCTCGTCGATGGAGGAAGGGGTGCCGGGGTTGTGCGTGTACATGTCTGCGACGGACTTGGGTGGCGGATAGGAGGCACCGGCGTTCTGGGCGGTTGGCCGTGGACCGGAGAAGGCGGGAAGCGAATTCCAGCGGTCGCGGACATTCTGGACGCCGTTGGCCGAGAAGGAGAGGTAGGTGGAGAAGGAGAGGAGCAAGAGGAAGAGCGCGACCAGCACGATGAGCCTCTGTGGGCGACGGAAGAGCGCGTCGAGGAAACCGGACGCCATTTTGGTGGAGTGACGACGGTGGGGACCGTATGTGCCCGAGCCCGGAGGCCGTCTAATCGAGAGAGATCGCGCGAGCTGTCAGGCGTCTAGACGCGCCAGGCTGGGCGGATCGGGGAGTGCCACGCGTGCAGCAAGAGGGGGATGAAGTGGGCGTCGGAGTGGAATGGGCTGGACTGGCTGGGGCGGATCGCAACTGCCGCGACGTGTCGGCTTGGTGTACTGCCGGCGAGGTCGTGGGACTAAGGAAGAGGGACGCCGGCTTGATCCCGATGGAGCGGCGGATAGGCGAGGAGGTGTGATGGGCAGGAAGGAAGAAGACGTTCCGATAGATGCAACCAGAAGCCAGCGTGAAGAGCTGCGAGTCGACAGCCAAGTCGATCGGGTCGCCAAGGCAGTGCTGCACGCGCAAAAGATGCACAGCTTGGCGGTCTGTCTCGGCATCCTGCTCAAGAAGAAATTTCGGCTTGTCCGTGCGGTCACAGCAAGGCACACGTCGCTTCAGCGAGGCACGCGGTTGATGCCAGTTTGACCCTTTTTTGCCACTGCTCGCTGCAATTCGAATCTTTCAAGCCAGGGCAGCAGTCGCGCATGCAAGTAGGGTTCTCATGCCGAAGCTTTTGCTGACGCTGGAAAGTCACCTGCCGGGCTCCACATCCACGATTTGACAGTCTGGCTTGCCTGACGCGCATGTGCTGCCTGGGTGAGCGCTCGGCGCATCCCGACGCGCCTGACGCAGAGCGCTCTCCAACCAACACTCTGTTGCGCACTGACGTCGCTTGTTCTGTTGCTGCGCCCCCTCCATTCACGAACTGCACTTCAAGATGGCGTACGTACAGGCGGGAAGCAGCTAGCGTCACATGCTGACAGCGTCGACATCTTGATACGCACTTTGACCCGTCGTCCTTGCTGCATCGAGATGCTCTGAAACGCAGCGTCACGAACATGAGGCCCAGACGCTCGCCAACGCCGCCTCCGATGCCTGCACTCGTGGTCTTGATCCCCTCCACGGACACCAGCGTCCCGGACGCTGCCAGTCCCTTCCCTCGGCGCAAGTCTCCTTCGCACTCGTCGCTGGCAAAGGCCCCCTCCCCATCGAAGCAACCGCGCCCCTTGCTGCGCGGATCCACAAAGCACCATCTTCATCCATCATCAGCCTCTTCATCATCACTATCGCCCTTCCCGCCTTCGTCACCGCGTTCGTCCTCTTCTTCCGCCTCTGTTTCCGCCGATAGCAGCACCTCTGGAGGGAGCTCAAAAAGTGCAGGTCGCTCCAGTGTTCGCTACCATCCGATCGACTTCTCCAACCCTTTTGGCGAAGACGCTGACCTCTCAGCCAAACGTGCCGCACCCGCGAACCAAGGCCCTTACATCTGCAAATGGCGCCTGCGCGACAAAAAGGGCCCTCGATCGCAAGGGTCATGTCTTCTGTCGCTGCAAGCTCATGACGGCAGACCTCCTTGCCAAGCATGTCCTCACCCACCATATCCCTCCTGCTGCTCCGTCGACTACAAACCAAGAGCTCTTCCGCAAAGTGGCCTGCCGATGGGATCATTGCTTCAACCGCCACTACGAGCCCTCGGCACTCGCAGCTCACCTCGTGCACCATCACTTCACCCATCAGATGGGTCTCAGGTATGCGTGCCTCGTCCAGAAATGCTCTGCCACCACGCTTCTCACAACGAGGGCTGCATTAGAGCGCCATCATGCTCAGTATCATGCCGCATACGTGCGTACCGCGCAGCTGCGACCAACGTGGGAGCCTGTTCCCGTCAGAAAGGATCGCAAGGATCGTAAGCATGCATCGCATCTCCTCGCCCAATTGCGCAAGTACGATGCGCTGCCTGACCCTTTCCAGGTCAGGATCGCTGTCTCTGATCGCAAGAACCCAAAGCTCGATGTCTCGAGCGCAGCCATCAACCCCGAACACGCACGCGAGTTCAAGAAACGATACATGAACCCAGCAATGATCCAGCCGGGTCCTGATCAAAAAGGCGAGCCTTGGCTCAGCCTGCACAGATGGCTCCAGCGGAGCGTCGACGTGTCGGCTGCCCGCCTTATGGCCGACCAGGCAGTCCTCGAGGGCACATCCTATGACGATACTGACCTTGCTCGATCGCACGCTTGCGCACCACCGGTCGTCGAGATCTCAGAACCACCAAGTCTTTCGGCGCTGAAACGAGGCATTCTCGCGGGTCAACCTTACGTTTCGTCGGCGGTTCCATCGTCTGGAGCTGTAGCAAAGTCCTCCGCAGGCAAAGAGACGCTTGTGCTGCCCAATCAGCCTTGCGAGGTCGCTTTGACCCAAACACCGGCACAAGTCTGCATCGAAAGCATCGGTGCTTCATCGCTCGCATCCATCGATCGAGAAATGCAACTCGACGACGCATTGGAGACGCAACGTCGCTGGGCACAAAAGGTGTACAAGATTCGTCCGCCACCATCCCGCAGCCTCGCACGCTCAGCTACCATGCCGACATCCGACCTGGAGGATGATACTGATGGCGACGAGCCGCGCCTGCCCCGGTTCGAGGCCTATCACCCAGCGTCAAGAATCCGAACTATGTACATGGACGGTGCGCGATCTTCAACACCGCGTTCGGGTGTGCTGCTCCCATTTGCCGCATCATCCAGCTCGACAGGCTCGAGCAGCAAGACGTCGGAGGCGTCGTCAAGCGTACCGATCAGCGTCAGCACGTCAAGCGGGCGATCGCATGGCTACGTCTCAACGCCACCGTCACAATACGGGTCGACCGAGACTGCAAACACATCGAACTCGGTCAAAAGGGAACGCGATGGCCCCTCCCTTGATCGGAGTGGTTGCGTTCTTCCTCCGACGGGGTCCAAAAGGAGAGCCATGCAGAGCAGCGTCTACTTGCCTTCTACACCGACCAAGGTCAAGGAAGAATCCATTTTCGTCGACTTGAAGCTCAAGCCCTCACACGCCAAAGAGAGCAGCCCGCTGCCTTCGCCTATACCCCGCTCACGCAGACGCAGACGTGGCTAGGGCGACGAATCAATGCAATCAGCCGACAAACTTGAATGATGGAAATGTCTGAGTGTGTTCGCGTTTGTACCCACGGGCTGATCTGATGAGTTGCATTTCTCAACACGAGCGACTCTGCTCAATTCGTATTGACGGTCTCAGATGAGCTGGATGGCCTATGCGTGAATTGTGATTCCACTGTTGTACATTGAACGAGATGAGAGCTGATCAAGCGACGAGGAGCTTGCGTTTCCTGGGTGCCTTGTCGTTGATCTTGGCCTGGACAGCGTGGTCGTCGAGGTCGATGCCGTCACGCTCGTAGATCTCGGCAGTCTTGTTGGCGGTGTGTTGGGACTTGATGAACTTGAGGGCAGCCAGGTTGAATCCGATCGTTTCCTTCTGGCGCTCGAGTGCGGCGTAGAGATGCGCCTTGAGATCGATGAGTGTGGGACGCATGATGCGGTTGGAGACGATCTGGTTGTGGTGCGTCCTGAGGAGGAAGAAGAGGATGCGCGAGACGAGCGGGATGTTCCAGCTCTTTCGTGCCCAGTAGTCCAGGAAGCGCATGAGCGAAAGCACCTTGTCAAAAGGCAGCACCAGCAGCGCATCGTCGAGCTGGGCGGGCAGGATCTTCTCCGCAACGCGCAGAACATACTTTTGCGCAGTGATGTCCTGGTCGACGTTCAAGCCTCCGCGGGGAGTCTCGAACTCGGCCATGATGAGTGCATGGAACGCAGGTTCGGCCTGGCCCGCAGCGCGTGCGGCGGTGCGCGCGGCAATGTCTGCATCGGCAACATCAAGTGCTTCGACCAACCTCTCTCCGGCCATCATGGTCTCTGTGGTGCTCTTGGAGACTGCCGTCGCTTCCGGTCCTGCCGCACCTTCCGCGTCGGGGTCCGCTCCATCTGCCAACGATCCGATCGCTCTTTCGTCATCCTGCCTCGTCTGACCGGCGCTCTCGAAAGCTCGCTCCATCTCTCGCTCGCGTTCCTCCTCCAAGAACAGCGGCTCATCGGTCTTCTCCCATGTCCTGATCGATCGATCCGCTCCTGCCGTCACCACCACCTTGCCGCTGTGGCCGGGCGCCACGGCCCAGATCTCGCCGTGATGGCCTTCGAGCTGCTGGATCATCTGGAAGCGATCGCCGTCCCAGTGCTTCAACAGGCCATCCTTGCCCACCGTCCAAAAGTGGTGCGATTCGCCCTGGCGTCCGCCCATGAGACCGCCGCCCTGCTGGCCGCGCTCGAATGCGACGCCCATGATGCTCTCGTTGTGCGCAAAGATCGACTTGTGGCAGTCGCCAAAGTCGAGGCCCCAGATCTTGACGTTCTTGTCGGCCGACACGGTGACGCACAGCTTGCTGTCCGCCGAAATGTCGAGCGCGAGCACGGGCAGCTTGTGGCCGTAGAGCGAGAGGAAGAACTTGAGCGAGTCGGCAAAGAAGACCTTGACGGTGTTGTCGAGCAGCGAGAGCGCGAGCAGCTTGCCGTTGGGCGAGAAGCGTGCAGACAGCACGTCGTCGGTCATCTTGAGCGTGCGCACGTGCACCAGCGCCAGCTGCGGTGGTGCCTGTGGCTTCGCTGCGCCGTTCTGGCCATTGGCAGCAGGAGCGACGTCGTCGGAATCGTCCGAGTCGCCATCTGCCTCGGGGACCTGCATTTCGAACTCCCAAAATTTGACTTCCTTGTCCGCGCTGGCGGAGACGCAGCCGAGGCCATCGGGCTGGATGGCTACGCTCCACAGTGGACCCTGATGCGCATCGAGCGTCTCGACGGCGATGCCGGCACGCACATCGAAGCTGCGCAGCGTGCCGTCCTTGCATCCTACGAGCACGTGCTGGTCTCCCGGCAGCCAGGCGACGGAGAGCGCATAGCCACACGGAAGCGTGCGGACGCATCGGCCCGTCTTGACATTCCAGATCTTGAGTTGGCCTGCGCCACATGCAGACGCCAGAAGATTGTCGTCGGAAGACAGCGCGACTGCGCGAATGTCGGATCGGTGGCCGGGCGCCTCGAGTGCACTTGCGAGCACAGCCTCGATCGGGTTGGCCTTCTCGGCCTTGGAGCGAGGCGGCGATGGAACGCTGTAGATCTCGAGCGCGTTGGAGGAAAGGGCACACAGCAGACTGAGCGCAAATTTGTTGGAAGACGGAGTGACGAGAGAGAAGCTGCGCAGCTTGCCCGCAGCGGGTCGGACGTTGGTGTAAGCCTCGATGCGGTCGGCCCAGGTGACCTGATCGGAGCCTGCCTCAAGGGAAGCATCGGTTGCCGCCGCACTTGCACCTTCCTTTGCGCGCTTCTTGTCGGCCTTCTCCTTGTTTCGCTTGCGCCTTCGCTCCATCTTCTTGGTCATCTCCTGTGTCGAGCGCAGTCGGAACACCTGCACGGCCTTGTCGGTGCTGGAGACGGCGATGTAGCCCTGCCCATGCGTGGAAGCGGCACTGGCGGTGCCGTCGTGGCGACGCGGAACACCACAGAATTCGATCTGAGTGACGCGATGCTTGCCCGAGAGCGGGATCGACCCGCGCGGGACGATGAATTTTGCGGTGGATGCGCCAGCGGAAGGATCAGCGGCGTCAGCAGCCTGAAGTCCGCGCGAGAGAGCCTCTGCCGAGATCTCCCAGACGCGCATGTCGCCGTCGGAGCTTCCGGTGAGCACGAGAGCACTTCCGTCGGCAGCGCCATCGATGTCGGTGGCGTCGTCATCTTCTGCGCCTGCTCCGTTCTTTGTTTGCATGGCGAGCGGAACGTCCTGCGAGACACCAAGACTCCAGATCTCGCCCGAGCCGTGAACGACCGTCTCGATGCAGTGCTGGAGCGAGAGGTCCCAGAGCTTGAGCAGGCCGTCTTTGGATGTGCTGAGCAGATAGCCTGCGGCGTCGGGCTGGGTGTGGACTGCGGCCGAGGACGATGCGCCGTCTCGGTCTTGGATGTGGCTGGGTGTCTGGACAAAGGCGATGGCGGTGACAGCGTCGCGGTGACCGCGCAAACGGAAGAGACCGGTTTCAGCGACCAGGTCCCACAGGATGATGTCGGTGTCAAGACTGGCGCTGGCGACCCTCAAGCCTTGTGGATCAAAGGTGAGTGCGATGACAGCTTTCTTGTGGCCGTTGAAGGTGACCGATGTGGAGTTGGTCTCTGCGGACCACAGTCGAATGCTGCCGTCCTCGTAGCCGACGGCGAAGGTGTCTGGGTCGGTAGGCGACCTGGCGAGGGCGGTGACTTTGGAGCGGTGTCCGATCTCGTGCCAGGTGGCGAGAAGCGTACCCCTGCGCACGTCCCAGACGAGCACATCCTCGAGAGCAGGGACGAACGCCGTCTTTGTGTCTGGGTCGAGGATCGAGTTGGACGATGCCGAACAGACCAGGCCAAAGGCCGAGGTTGGCTCGTGGCGAAGGTAAGAGCGCACCATTGTGTCTGTGTGTGGCCCGATCGGGACAAGGTGCAGGAAAGATCAAAGCCAAGCTGAGACCTGCGTGCTCCGAGATGGTGAATGCGAGAAAGGTCAAGAAGGCGAGGAGCAAGCTCCAGTGTGCTGCAGGCTTTCCTGTGGCAGGAACTTCCCGAAAATTTTGGAACAAACAGGCGAGAGGGAAAAAAAAAGGGTCAGGGTCGCGGATTTCGGCTCCGAGATTTTGGCAATCCACCTCCACTCTCTCAGTGCCATCATATCTGTGCCTTTCCGTTTCTGTCTGGCTCAGGAGAGCATGGTTGCATTGTCGCAGAGCACAAGCACGCTTTTTCATGCTTCGGGTATACAAGCCAGTGCATATCTAGCCGCGCAATGTCAGTGTCCCGAATAGGTCCTCCTCGTACCTGGAGAAGAGCACTTGAGTCTGATATGGTGAAAGAGGATAGGACCGATGTTGCGAATGGTGCCTTGACGGGCTCACACGAGGCGGCCGTGTTGAGAGCGTCTCATAGGCTGAGCTGGAAGAGAGGCGATTCACTGTAGTGACGCCATCAATTTTGGCAGTTGGCGCCGGTGGGTCTCGAACGAGCGGCAGGCTTGGGCCGGCTCTGCAGCCCGCCAGAAGTGGCTGTGGGGCGGGGCGGGGCGGCGGCACGCTTTTTGTGGAAATCGAGCGAGCGCGCCGTGACTGTACTCGAAAAGCCTAAAAACCACGGGCAGCGGGACGCGGAGCAGCAGCGGCACTCTGCGAGTGTGAGGGTGGCGGCGGAAAAGCGCGTCAGGCAGATGAGCCGACCTAACGACCGCTTCCGTCGCCCGTTTCCAGGGTCCATTTCCGAGTCCCATCGCATCGCATCGCATCCATCACGTCGTATCGTGTCGCATCACATCCATCTCATCCCCGTTTGCGCGCCCGACATCGGCTCTCATCCGGATCCTGGCCATCGTCGCCCGATACCCGCACTGGTGCATCCACACACCACAGCTCTCGAGCTCTCTCAACTCAGCCGACAACACCTCGCACGCCTCTTCGTCCCGCGTCCACCGCGGCTACACCGCGTACATCGCGCGCGTCCGCATCGCTTCACGACAACCTTGCAGAGTCATTGGATCCGCATCTCCGGCCTCGACACCACCTGGCTGCCTCTCAGAGCATTGCTGATGACTGCGTAGCTGGATTCACCCCCACGTTCTCGCGACACACCCACTCGTTTCACTCGTTCCTCGCATGCTTCACTCCAATCCTCCGCTCTGATCTACCGCTTGTTCGGCAAAGGGCGTGCTATGGCTGTCGAAAACGGCATCGATCCGCCTACTCCGGGCCTTCCGATCCCCCTGCCCGAGACCACCAACGAAATCGCCCAATCACAGCATGCTGCTGCCGATACGGCCGACGCGACTCGGCCTCCCTCCGAGAGCGCGCCTCCTTCCATCGGCGTAGCCCTCGGGCCGACCTCTCTGCCCCTCCTCCCCCTTCCCACCGACGCTACAACTGCAGCCGCCATCAACGAGCCATCTCAACACGTTTTTACCACGACTGACCTTCCCGACATCCCGGATGAGGTGCTCGCTCTCGAACCGGCGCCCATCCCTGGTGCAGACTCAGCGGC